GAAAGAAACAAGTAGAAAGAGAATATAAACAAGAAAAGAGATTACAGCAGCTGTTGGAGGAAAAAAGAAACTAGAAGAACAAGAAAATAAACAAGAGAGATTACAACAGTTGTTGGAGGAAAAAGTAAAGAAGCAAGAAGAGAGATTACAACAGTTGTTGGGGAAAAAAGAAAAGAAACAAGTAGAAAGAGAATATAAACAAGAAAAGAGATTACAGCAGCTGTTGGAGGAAAAAAGAAACTAGAAGAACAAGAAAATAAACAAGAGAGATTACAACAGTTGTTGGAGGAAAAAGTAAAGAAGCAAGAAGAGAGATTACAACAGTTGTTGGGGAAAAAAGAAAAGAAACAAGTAGAAAGAGAATATAAACAAGAAAAGAGATTACAGCAGCTGTTGGAGGAAAAAAGAAACTAGAAGAACAAGAAAATAAACAAGAGAGATTACAACAGTTGTTGGAGGAAAAAGTAAAGAAGCAAGAAGAGAGATTACAACAGTTGTTGGGGAAAAAAGAAAAGAAACAAGTAGAAAGAGAAAATAAACAAGAAGAAAGATTACAGCAGCTGTTGGATGAAAAAGAAAAAACAAGAAGAACGAGAAAACAAACAAGAAGAGAGATTACAACAGTTGTTGGAGGAAAAAGAAAAGAAGCAAAAAAAGAGATTACAACAGTTATTGGAGAAAAAAGATAAGAAACAAGAAGAGAAATTACAGCAGTGGTAAGATAACTTGCAACAGTGACAGCTCGAACAGCAAAATCAACAAGAGAGATTACAGCACTTCTTGGATGAAAAAGAAAAGAAACAAGTAGAATGAGAATATAAACAAGAAAAGATGCTTCAGCAGTGGTTAGAGGAGAAAGAAAATAAACAAGAAGAGAGACTTCAGCAGTGATTAGAGGATAAAGAAAATAAACAAGAAGAGAGACTACAGCAGTGGTTGGAGGAGAAAGAAAATGAACAAGAAGCGAGACTATAGCAGTGGATGGAGGTGAAAGAAAATGAACAAGAAGAGAGACTATAGCTG